TTTCAACTGTATCATCGTCTCTTGTTTGGAAGGACGCTCGTTGAAAGTATAATCCAGACACGAAACCGTTCGCTTTTAATTTTTTCTTCAACGATACGTTAGAAGTATAATTAAGTCCGATATCTTCGGGAATGACGTTCAATGTTGACGACATTTTGTTTGTCGGAGATGGTGAGAGTAGCCTCCCTTGATTTTCGGTAGGCGTGGTTATTTTTGCGTTGTTGATCGGCCAATTCTGAACTTGGTAAACTTGTTGACACATAAATCAACATGGCGGCCGAATTTTTGGAAACGACTAAACTTCGGACGCCATGCAATTGTAGGAATTTATATTTTGTTACAAAATAATTACCTAAATAAGAAAAGTCTTGAACTATATTTTGATATATTTTTTATCCCCCAAATACGCTTATTTGATATTTTAATTTTAATTTGAAAAAAATGGGGTTTTTTTGCTTCAACAGAACGTAACAAGCCATTAAATGACTGTCGCCGACTTCCTTACCAGTGGCGCAGTGTTGACTGATAAAAAGCCTGTCCGAAAGAGAGGAGAAAGCAGAACATAGAACAAGTAAACACACAGAGAAAACATAAATATAACCTATACGGTCTTTGCCGTTGACAACTGTCCAACATACGTGCCAATAATACTGAACCGTAGCAAGAAATAGTAACATGATAGGTCAGCTACAACGTAATTTGTAATAAATCGACTCTACACACAAGGTATCAGGAAATAGGAAGTTGTAACTGGAAGCTACACGATAATTATAATATTACGAAGCAGAATCAGGACAGTAATTCCGGATCATATATATAAAAAAACACGGACAGAGGTACTGTGACTACATGTATAAATAGATAAATGCAATATTGGAAAAAGAATCTTATCAAGATAGAATGTTCAATAAGTTGACTGAACATAGAATATCCTAGAAATCGATTTGCATAAATAAAAAATTAGACCTGCAAAGTGACAAGAAGCTTACCTTAATACAGAGAAATCTGGCGTAACCTTCCTTACGACTTACATCCCGTGAAATGGAATCATAATAAAATCCGCACAAATCACACGTATTTGAACTCATATTAATGAAGAAAAATAGAAACATACAAAATGTAACTCAGTAACCGGGCTATACCCCCAGCTTAACTCATTGAAATTATCAAAATGTACAATATACAAGAGTTCCTCGGACTGTATGTGTCGCTTGCATAAAGTGTCACGGTCACCCAGAAATTGAACTGGGTGTGTAACGATCAACCATTAAGTTGTGATACCAAATTCCATTTTGATAACTCAAAGCATAAGCCAACAAGAGATCACAGAGGGATCTTGGCGCCCACCATTTGAGGATCTATTTTCAGTTCTTGAAGATTTGTTTATTTTTTTTGTTTGTTTGTTTGTTTGTTTGTTACAGGTGTTGTAAATGTTCATGAACTGGTCTTCATTGAATGTACTCAATGATGGCACAAGATATTTTTATTAAGCACCTATTAGCAAATATCATTTGAAAAAGATCCCAAAGTATTATTAGATAGCAGTCAGTTACAGGTGGATAATGGACAATATGCTTGTGCTGTATTACTGTCGACATCCAAGATGGCGGCCTGTGGGCCACCTTGATTTTAAATCAGTCCAAAAAAGGTACAATGCACAACTAGGGACCAAGGGAAACCAATATCTATGAAATATCAGAAGGATCCATCCAGTACTTCCTCAGATATAGCAGTAACAAGATTTTACTCTCAAAATCCAAGATGGCTGCCTGTCAGCCATCTTGATTTCGGATCAGTCCAAAAAGGTACAATGCACAACTAGGGACCAAGGAGAACCTGCATATGAAATTTGAGAAAGATCCATCCAGTACTTTCCAAGAAATAGCGGTAACAAACTTTTACTTCCAAAATCCAAGATGGCCACCTGTCGGCCATCTTGAATTTGACTCAGTCCAAAAAAGGTACAATGCACAACTAGGGACCAATGGGAACCTGCATATGAAACTTGAGAAAGATCCATCCAGTACTTTCCAAGAAATAGCGGTAACAAACTTTTACATCCAAAATCAAAGATGGCCACCTGTCGGCCATCTTGAATTCGAATCAGTCCAAAAAAGGTAAAATGCACAACTAGGGATCAAGGGGAACCTGCATATGAAATTTGAGAAAGATCCATCCAGTACTTTTCCAGAAATAGCGGTAACAAGAATTGTTTACGGACGGACGGACGGACGACAGACCACGGAAGCAGGGCGGTTTGAATACCCTACCATCTGATGATGGTGGGCTAAAAAAGTCCGGAAAACAATATTCCCAGGAAATTTTGTAAGTTGAAATTGGCATAACACTGCCAAAAAGGGTCACAGACGGCCGGAAAACGAACTTAATCTGTACCCTTGCAACAAAAAGCCATATGCCGATTTCATTTTGATAACTCAAAGCATTACCGAAAAAAGTCCGGAAAGATTTCGTACGGATGACGACGACGCGTGACAATGGACAAAGTGATCCCTAAGTGTCCGCCAGCTCTGCAGGCGACACAAAAACCTTAGAAAGAACTCAAAAACGTGAAAAATACTATTTCAACTATCATTGCTGCCTGTGCAAATATGAAAAAATAATGCAAACTGAAAGTACAACAGTTGATAATACAGGCCTACTAGAGTGACAAATGCTAATTACTTTGAAGTATAAAAAAAACCTAGCCAATCAAAACTACGGGTGTGTAATTTTGATTGAAGACCTTGGTGATTTCGTCATGTCCTTCCGCTTGTTTTCTGAAAGGTTTCATTTCTTCTAACTGACGTAATCTTTATTCAGTTTTACCAGCCATTTGATCCGGACTATAAGGAGAATTACTGTGGCCTAGTTTTGGCTTGTATGACTGGCAGTCATTGGTAGCTTTAGATCTCGCAATATCCGGCGAGACAAAAGAAACACTTGTTCGAGTTATCTTCCGTACTAAACAAAACAGTCAATATACGAAGTCAAACAGCGACTGGTGACCAGAAATTACCGGTCGTCGGTCGCGGTAAGCAGGGGGTCGCTATATAAGGTGCAAATAAATAATAAATGTCAAGGGCCGGTGTCATATCATATTTGTATCCCCCATCAGAAAAGGATCCGGATCACTTTTCCCTCATCAGAAAAGGACCCGGGGATCGTTTTTCCCCCCATAAGAAAAAGATCCCCCTTATAGTATTTTGATCACCCTTGTGAATTTTATTTTAAACTTCATAGCTTTATAAATATAATGAGATATGATAAGTAACTGTGTCTGGGACTTGGTCACTGAAACCAGGGTTACCTGTTCAGGTGTGATTACATAACACCTGTGGAGCCAAGGCTGAAGAGGTCAAGCTCCAGATTACCTTGTACAGGTAGTGATTGACAGGGGCTTAAATGATGACTGCATGCATAATTACTCTATAATAACCTGTCCCAAATATACCTCCTGGAAAATAAGTTTATGGATTCAATGGAGAATTTTTATATACATGTATGCATGTAGACTTCTGAATATATATATGTGCAAATGGAAAATTAACAGTTGACCTAAAAGGATATATTTTGATGAAAGAGAGATTTTAGGGTCAATAATGATAAACAGAAAGAGACGTACAATAAGAAAGTAGTATTTTTAAATTGAAAAGGAGAAAATTAGTTACAATTAATGTCGAAATTATAAATACAAAGTTTACAAACAATATACAATTCTGAACATATATGCAGAGTGGGAAATTAACACTTAGTGATGCATATATGATTAGTTTACTCTAACATATTTATAAAACTTTGAGGTAAATATATATTTATATCAGAGACATACATATAACACATATAGGTATATGTCTCTGTGTATAACTTCTGAGGTAAAAAGGAAATAATTATTTACCAATAATGTACACCAAGACCCATTTTTATTAATCAAGTCACTTACAGGAAAGAAGATGCAACATACATGCATGGAATAAAAACAAATGATACCAAATAGAGGGTGGGAGGTGTAGGGGGAGAGGAGGGTCATTGTTACAGATATAAAAACAATCAGAGAGATATAAGGGAGTATGATGAGATATTAAGGGGGATCAATATAAAAGATGTGAATATTAGACAAGGTTTTTTTCAATTTAAAATGATGACCTCAGTCAATCTGTAATGGAATTTATCAGTAGGTAACTTTAATTGATCACTCGGTATACCTGCAATGTACATATGGGTGCTCACTCAGGTTTCACCCCTCTACCCTTAATCCTCTTATGTAATTGACTGGTTGGCCAGGTGTAATTAACAACTACACAGCTAACATAACACCTATCATCATATTTTCACTATCACCTTAAATATATGCTTATATGCATTGTAAATATACCTTCTCTTAAGGGGGATCAAAATACTATATGGGGATCATTTTCTGATGGCCAGAAAAATGATCCAGATCCTTTTCTGATGGGGGATCCAAATATGATATGACACCGGTTCAAATATGGTCGTTATGAGCAAGGGGTCATTATATGAAGGCGGTCATTAGTACAGGTTTGACTGTAAATAAAATTACCAATATAAGTAAATCTATATCAGAATGCTAACACATTTTGACAATGCTATACAGTAAATGTACAACATACAAGTACACTTGTAGAAGTAGAAACAATCTACTGCAGTGTTTCTGAATGGATCTTATTTCTGTAGATTTAACAAATGTTTGAAACCAGTGGAATGATTTTTTTGGTTGACCACATGAAAAGGCATAAAATTTCTCCTATGATTCCATTCTTAAGGTATCCAGTTTTCACGATTACATTTCATCCTTGATATTTGCCAAAAATAGAAACTCCTGAAAATAAGTTTTACCATCTATACAAATTTAGAATATTAATACTACAACCGAGTTTGAGGATAAGCAAATTAGTAAGACTGAACAAAATAAATGATGCATGAGTGTTTAGAATGTAAAGTAAAGAAGGATGTAGATATGACAAATGACAGAAATAAATATGTATAGGTGAATGGGTTTTATTAAACATTACCCAGGTATCATAATGCTAATAACAAATCATATAACAAAAATAAATGTTCCTTAAAGTATATTTAGCAATTACTGTAAATGGCAGCGTGGGGTCTACATTTTAAATAGTTTGGCATTATCTCTAACTTCCATAAGAATAAGAGCGTCTGACATTTTCTAAAAAAAATTTTTAATCCACTTATGATACTTGAACAGGTGACAAAATACACATCTAATATATGCTGTCAAATGTACACATTGTCAGAAGTACCTAAAGACTAAATTGTCTTATTATAATTCCATTCATAGTATCTGATTAATTCACATATCATTCTCTCTGAAAGGGGGATAACTGATGTTCAGAATAAAATTTTGATTCTTAGCAACTCCTATAAAGTATAAGTGGCTGTTGGTCATGGTCAGCCGATTTATTACCTTACATGTATGTGGTTGTTTCTACCAGGCACCCACTATCAGTATATGACTGTGCAAGTCTCTAACATAACTTTTATCTTACTAACATAATTGACAAAAAACATTTTTGAAAAGGAGTACATGAAATTCAAATATCTACCTGGATATTTAATAATGTTAATCATGTTAGCAATTTTATGCATGTTGTACCACAAACACAAATGTACAAAAAAGCAAATCAATGAATACTAAATAGTTGCTTTCACTTGTACGAAATATTTTGAACACAAAGACAAACATTCCAAATCATCATTTGTTACAAGCCACCATGTTGGTTGAACATATCTTGTCAATTATGTAAATAAATGAAATGAGTGTCACGAATTGGATGTAACATCACCTGACCTCTTTCCATTCTGCAAATATGCTTCTTCGTAGACTGACACAAAGTACAAAAAGGTGATTATCTTTATACCTTTATCTAAGCGAGAGAGGTGAGAGAGAGAGGAGGAGGATAAAAATCTAAGTACATTTTTACTTAACATAGCATTGCATTATTCCTTCATTCATACAGTGTGGAAACCAGTTAATGATACTCAAGTTATGGTTAACTATAAGAAAATTTCACATCTCTCTGATTGGTAAAATTCCTGAACAAGAAATAAGTTATGATTGAAGATTAACAAACTTCATGGTGCCATACACATTGTGACGTCACAAAACAGTGAAAATATCATGGATTTAGATTTTGTATCACTCTAGTGAAATATGTAGCATTATTCCCATGAATGTCTGTACAAGCATTAAAGATAGAAGATAAACAGAATTCCACATTCATTTCCAATGAGAATTATAAAACTCATCATAAATCTTTCATTTTCCTCATCAGTAGTGATAATATGAAAAAGTTATTATCAGATTTGTTTGATTAATCTCTTACAAATGGTAACATGTGAAAGATTCTCTATTCTCAATAAATGTAGATAAAATTTCTTAATGTACATATTCAAGAAAAATCCCTTTTTTTCTATCATCATGCTTATTCATTAAAATTTCTAAAAATTGTCCAAATTACCTCATTCTTACAGCACATACAACAATCTACACTAATAATTGCCTTGCAAACACATATATCCCTATTATTTTTATGGATCTGTCTCTCCACAAGGCAGATCCTACTTACAGTGACTTCATGAAGCCTTCATATAAATATTTTTTTTAAACATATATCAACATTGTCTGATATAAATATATATCTTATATCTAAAGTTTTAATACATATTGTAACAGATCTAACACTTTCATAGTGAAATGTAAAGAACTATACATACCATAATATAAAAATACAAGCACTTCAAAGTTCAATGAATGAAAACAAAAAAAAAAAGCATGTATTATACTTGAATACATAAGAGAGAACATCAAATGCATTATCCAGAAAATATACACCAACCAGGAAAATGTTGACCAAAAAGCATTTAGCAAGCAGCATGATAATTTGTATAATGGTACATGTAGTTTGACCTTATAACTTTCAAGTTTTTTTGAAAGGACAGCCATCTAGAATAAATGCTTTCACTAAGAAAACATTGTGTCTATATATCATGTCATAGCTTTTTTGAAGTTGGGTTCTGTTGCAGTTAATTTGTGTTCGAGTACTACCTCAGCACAAATCTGACCTACCTGGATATAATAGACCTTATCAGATAAAGTGAGGACTGACCATATGTGTCTTAGTTCTGCAATCAGATATTGGATGATAACCCGAGTTACTGTATTTCTCCTGACAAAAGCCCAATGACCCAACACATCAATTCTCACCAAAATGTCAGTATGTAGACTTATCACAGGATGATCAAATAGCATTTATCTATAATTTTACTGTCACAATAGCAAGTAATGTGTGGGCTTATTAACAGGCATTGACTTACTGAGTAATATATGCAGTACCTCCAGAATCATTAATAACTTAATGCAATCAGATCGAACCAATTTTATGTATTATATAATCTTTACTATGATTTCATAAGCCTTTGATTCAATGGGTTTTCAGGAGATTTCATCCAATCTTTCCGTAACATCTGTTTTAATTGTGAAAGTCTTAAGTTCGGGTTTTCTTTTTTGAGTTGTGGTAAACGTTCATCCTCATATTTCTGGTAGGCAGCTTTAACCCTCTTCTCTGGGTGCATATCAATTTCTGGTTCTTTCACACTGGAAAATATTAGATTATGTTTAAAATTGCTGATGGAAATAAGCTTCTGAACTTCCTCATCAAAATATAGGTCATACTTGCAGAACCAGTTGTGCAGCAAAATGTGAAGTATCATTAGTACCGGATATGATATATCACTCAAAATCTGTATTTTAACAAATCACCTCATTTGTCTTATACTAACAATTGTGCACAATATTTTAGCAATTTCAGATAATCACATTGATGATTCCTTTTAATTCAGTTGAAATGGTCCATTTACATGAGATTGTCCTTCCACCTATGGACATGAACAGAAATGTATAAACTAGGTGTCAAAGGGCCTTACATTTGACAAATGAGAGGGGTTAGTTTTGATACGGAGTGGCGCAAACAAGCCATAGCCATGATTTTGTTTGTTTTTTTATTTTTTAACCATTTTCTGAAAAATAGCATTAATAACCATTTTTATCTCTCCAAATCAAAAATGGTTCTGTGTCAGCCATACTATCTTAAGATAATTTCCAAAATATAATATCCAAAGCATCATAGGTTAAATACAAATGAAATTTCAATAAGTCCCTCTATTCTTTTCTCCAGTATAGTAAAACAAGAATTGGTTAAACACATATGTAAGACTTCAGAAGAATGATGATACAAACAGCAGCCAACCACCTAGTCATGGCTGACTAAGTAACACCACAACAGGAAAAGAAAGCTTTTAACCATCCTCTCTAATGTTATGTGTTCACCTGCTATGATTTTGCTCTAACAATGATAAAATTTTCTCTTGTGTATTACTATCATTACTAACCTGAGTACTGCCAGAGCATCTTCTACACTGCGAGCTTCTCCTTCTGTTGGAATAAGTCTGTTCACATTTTCTTCAATCGGCATCTCCTCTGGCAAGGCATCAGCTTTTTTTGCTGCAGCTATTTCAATAAAACATGAAAAATAAAATGCTTCATCTTATACACAAAAGTTCTGTTACATGTAAACTTGTCTGGTATACCATATTGTTAACAGTGTGCTATGCAATAAAGCTTAGATAAAATGAAATCTGATAATTTAAAATATATCATCATTTAGTGGTTGAAAATGAGGGAATGGCATAAACCCTGGTGTCTGGAATATTGTCATGAGAGAAAAAAACAGCATGTAAAAGTCAGATGAACATACATGTAGACGGATAGACTTGTGGTAAATTGGTTGAGAACCTGGTTCTCTAGATCATAATAACATCCCACATTCATTTGTTTTTATAGACGATTGACACTATACAAATATGATCGATAACGATCCTAAAATATCAAATAATAAATTTCTAAACTGATCAACTGAGAAACATGTTAAACAATTATACCTTCACCTCTTTATATTATTTTCACATAAAAATCTGTAATTTTCCTAAAATAACAAACAACAAAATTCTACACCGATCAATGATGTACATGTATATAATAAACCTACCTTCAGCTGCTTTCCTTTCCTTTGTCATCTGGTTTTCTATCTGAGACCTTGTAACCTTGGCACTACCTCCTGAGCTAGCCTTGGACTTAATACCATCCATTTCCTCATCATGTAACTTCTGTAGCTCTTTTTTCCTTTCCAATTGTTCCATCCTTTTCTTTTCTTTATCATCCTACAGACATCATATTACTGCATTATATACATACAAACTAATACAAAGTATTTCGTACATGTGCAATGTATTTTTATCTTAGTGTTATATTTGGTACCTTTAATCTATCTTTACAATAAAAGAGAAAATGATTTTACATTCCCAACAAAGTTGTCATGTCCAACCCTGATGTATTTTCACCAATAAATGAGTTCAACATATTGAAATTCATGATAAAACATAGCAAAATTAAAGGAAAACACCTCAGATTGGCTTAACATGTATGTCAAGGTACATGTATGACGGTCCGAGGCTTTAATTGCATAAGGAGATTTGTAGAGCAAAGACAATAACATGCATGACATTGGATCTAGAGGTATATGCAGTCATTCATAAAGTTCCTCAATGTCAGACTTCAACGATACATGTAATAGAAATTTTCATAAAAAATCTCTTAAGAAATAGGGTAATAGGATAATCATCTTTTACTGTCAAATAAAAGATGGTCATCTGACAGCCATTTTACTACTCTGGTCAGTCCCAGAATCAATTGGCCACAACCACGGACCAAGGGAAACCTACATTTGCAATCTGAGAAAAATCCATCACACACTTCTGGAGATGTTACAAAAAGATATTTTCTTGTCAAAATCTAAGATGGTCGTTTGTCAGTTATTTTGCTATTTTCAGTCAGTCTCATAATCAAAAGGCCACAACTTGGGACCAAAGGGAACCTACGTATGAAATTTGAGAAAAATCCATCATACACATCGGAGTAATTGCGATAACAATATTTCATTGTCAAAATCAAAGGGGTCTGTCAGTCATTTTGTTTACCGATGAGTTCAATAATCAAGAGAGCACTAGGGACCAAGGGGATCTTTCACTGAAATTTGTGACTGTTCCATGATAGTTGGCTATAAATATCGAAACTTCCGAAAAAATTGACCTCTTTTAGCTAACTAAGCTTTGACTATGTACATAGCTTTCACATATACACGCTATATGTCTATCACTCTAAATTTTTATCTAACCTTCCGTTGCATTTTTTTTGCATTATGCTTGTCGTCATCTCTCCAATATTCATCTTCCAATGCTTTATCCCTTTTTTCTTTCTCTGCATGTACAACAGCTGCTTTCCTTGCTCTTGCTTCAACAGCCTTGGAATTTTCCCCTTTAAATTTCTTCGGCATTTCTGTCAATACTGAAGAAGAGATTAATATTTCAATATGAATGTTATTAGTGTTCAATATACACAACCAATCAAGAAATCATTGAATAACAGTTCATCTAACTGATCCATTTTTCACAGAGATTTCAATTAATAATTAAGATTTATAACAATCCCATGTATTTATATGGTTGTTAATTATATAAACATTACCTAACTGTAAGTCATACAAAGGTCTGAGACACTAACATTTTATATAAGGAAGAATTCTAACTATCAACAGGAACAAAGACAAAAAACATAGCAGATATACATGTAGATAAATCGGAATCATTCCATCTATAGTTTACCTACATAGCCACAGTTGTAGCTATCACCTGACAATCAATTGGTCATTCCAAATTAGAAAACAATATACATGTAACATTATATCCACATTCTGACTAATCCAGATCTAAATTTCACTTGGTAAACTACACAATAAATACCTGGCTTCAAACCTTTACTCTACAATATACTGCAGTTATTACATTTGAATTGTCTCACTGGATTATGACCAGAGTTTTCTCTGTCTCCTATATATATATACACCAGCTGACATTAGATATTTTGATTGACAAGTTGTGAGGTGTATGCCAAGGTCTAGAGTAACTTTTAAACGTACAAGTGCTCTTTGTCAACTTGATTGCAATGGCATCTGTCAAAAGTATCTTGCTGTGGTGTTATAATTATTTTTATTATAACACTCTTAACGGTCCATCAACACATAAAAGGTCATTATGGCCATCAAATGGTAAAACACACAGCAATACAAAAGGAAATAACATTAAACAAATCAAAAGGTGAAAGACAAATACTAAAAATTTTAAATGGGTATATTAACACAAAAGATTACAATGGTAAGTCAGTCTATTATATAGACCAACATCTTTCAGGTAATATAGAATTTTACAACAGTTTCAAAAAGGGTTTTTAGACATGTAATGTTACGATAAAAAACATTCCAGAGTAGATAGGTCAATGCAGTCCAATGAAAAATGTTTAACGGTGAATGGCTCATCACATCCTATGCACCGAGGATTATCTTCGCCTTTCAACATATATGAATGTGTAAGGTATGTATGACCCATCTGAAGACAGGCCAGGACAACTTTGTCTCGGTGGTTGTCTCTATAGCATGCAGACCATTCACCAATATTGTTTTACAGAGTGCATTGCTGTGGTGGACCTTTAACAGTGTTGAAGTATACCAAGAAGAAACATTGGCTACTGCCGATAAGTAAGTGATATATTATTACGGCTAAACAAAGACACATACGCCTATATGTGTGTAAATGCAAACACAGATACTTCAGAATTTGTCATATATATTAATCTAATTCAGGTGAATATGAACAATGGACATATATTGTATCCTGATATGTTTAAAAAGTTACCAGACGTTTACGAGGAAACATTAACCTCTTGTTCAAAGACCTTTTAACCTTTAAGATAGGTCCAGATGGATCCAAACTTAACTAAACCAGAAACATTTAGATCTCCAGTCCCTGTGATCTAGAACTGACAGATGTAATAACAATTATTTTACAGCATAATTCTAAATGAACGTACAAAACCTGTGTTTGAACTGACGCTCCTTAAAGTGACCAAGCAGTCAATTTAGTTGTTATAAATGCCTTTATATACGGGTATACAAACTGAATCCAAAGTTTGTTGTGTTGCTCTAAACTCAGTTTCGTCTACAAATGTTAACTTCCGGTTGTGCAATATTTATTTTTACGAATTTAATCGAATGATTCATTTACTCTTTTCAGTAATTGTGTATTTACCTTCAATCCCTAGACAATAAACTTGATATCATCTGGCATGGAATCATAGAAATAGAACATTTATGGATGAAATTTTTATTCAAAATTATTAAGATTTTATTAAATGCGTTCCGATCTTTATGTTGATGTTGTAAATTTGACACTTCTCAAACCAGTATGGCCGACAATGGACAGCAGCAAAACGAGGAGGAAGTTACAGAATTGAAAAACGACTTACAAAACGCATCTATTGAAGACAAAGACACAAATGAGACAGAGAAAACACCAGAGCGAGAATTAACGCAAACGGATCATCTAAACAAACGTCTTCTTGGTGCTTTTCTCAACCGAATTAACGTCAACCCTTCGTCGATCCCCCAGAATTTCGAGATTCATAACGGAGAAAATAGTAGCTCAGATACGGAGGAAGATAAAGGAGTAGTCTTTCCAGATAATAAATAATTGGAAGCGACGAAATCGTTTATATAGAAGAGGAACCAAATGATATTTTTATATAATACGTTAGAGAGTTTTTTAAAACTATGCAGCAAATCAGGGTGTAGTGATCAGTTAATTGTTTTGTTGGGGATCGGCATAACTGTATTTCAATTGGACTACGGCAACGCCAAGGCAATATAATGTCAGGTGACCGTTTGAAAGCGCTAGTTATTGGGATATCAGGGTAAGATCATAAAGTTGCATTTGAAAGTTATTAACAATTTTGCATATATATATACATGAACTCTTACTTCTTAGAATTGCTTAAACAAATTAACTTTCTTCTTTTTTAATAGCAAATGTATGTATCCAGACTGAAAACCCTTCTATCAATATCAAAAATCAACATTCAATGATGTAATATAAAGCATATAACTCAAAAATAAAAATGGTGTATATAGTTCCAGTACTCATAGATTATATCTTGATATTGCTCATTCAGTGAATATATAAAAGCATTTAAATTCCACGACAGTATTTTTTTATTTACAATTTATCTGAGAAGATGACTCCATATATCAACTGTAGTGGATCATGGCTGGGTCAGTCATCAACAATTATATAGCTGCATTTAATGTTGACACCACATGTCCTTTTGTTTGCATCAAATGTTTATAGATTTTAAGTCTGCAACTTTTCATCATAAATTGATTATTTTGAAGCCTGTGATTAAATCTCCTTTCATCCTGAAGTATTTCAGAGTTGGAAGTTTCAATTTCTGAAGTAGATTGCTGTATGGAAGACCTATGAGCATTTGGATTAGCTTTCTTGCTCACCGTGGGACATTTTCAATTATTTGAATGTCTGTTTGTTTGTATTAGGTTCCATGCACATGCTGCATATTCCAAATATGACATGATTTTGTCACTAATCCTTAAAATAAGTGTTAACAATTGTTTTTTCTGTATATATAATGTGGATCTTCAGATGAAGAGGGGACATGGTAATGTATTTTCTGGCATATATGGTGATGTAAATAAGTAAGATAGAGCCTTGTATACACTTCCTTGGGAGTCCCCACTTTCAATGCTTCATGTAATTTATCAATATCTTTAGATGTTTGTACTAAGGGCGTTTTCTATCCATTTTATTGTAACTTTTCTAATTCTGTATCTGCTAAGTTTATGAATGAGGAAACATTCAGTTCTTTATCAAACATCTAAATTAAGTAGAAAGACATTTACTTCCTCTCCTGCATCCAGTGTTTTTGTCCTTTAATCCTAATATACCTGAAAGTTGTAGATCTTTCAGATAAACAGTCACAGCTGAATCTCTTACTGCTGAATAAATCATTTACCTGCTTGTTGGATCCTTTTCAAGCATATATGCAAACATTAAATAAAAAATGATAAGCATTCAGTAATTTTTCGAAACCCCTGCATTAATAGTATGCAAAATAAGAAAAAAAATGACAAAAATTCCTGCTTTACCATATTTATTTACTTTTAAGTTCAAGATTTACCCTGTGTTTAAACATATATTTCTTGTCATAAGACTCAAGGAAAAATGTTTAGTTTTAATGTGTATTCTAATCTATGACTGACATGCCAAAATAAAAGATCAAGACTTTCTTTTTTTCTTCCAGTATAACTTCCTACATGTTCATGCAGCATTTTTTCCTCTTTTTAGGTTGCCTGAGCCGAAGGCTCATGGTGACCTATTGCCATCATGATTTGTCTGTCGTCGTGCGTCGTTAACTTTTCACATATTCGACTTCTTTTCAAGAACCACAAACTTGGCACAAAGCATCCCCATGGGAAGCCACTTCAAGTTTGCGAAGAAAAAAGGCATGGACCCAATAGGGGCCCCAGGAGGGGGTAAAATTAGGTAAATCTTTAAAAAATCTTCTTCTCATGAACAAACAGTCAGATTAAATTCATATTTAATATTTAGGGTCCTTATAGCAAGGTCTATAAAGTTTGCGAATGAAAAAAGAATCGGGTCAAAAACGACCCCACTAGGGGGCGCTCAAAAAGGTCAGAAATTCAACTTTGACCAATTTCAACCAAATTTGGTAGACAGCATCCCTTAGTGAAGGACATATGAAATCATGTTGAAAAAAGTGATTATGTCTTCTTTGGGGCCCATAAGCGGTGTAAAAGGGGCCATATGTAAAAACCTTCATTGAATGACTACTTCTCAAGAACCAGTGGATGGATTTTGACCAAACTTGGCACAAAGCATCTCCATGGGAAGCCGCTTCAAGTTTGCGAAGAAAAAGTGTATGGCCCCAATAGGGGCCCCAGGAGGGGGGAAAAGGGGAAACTTGATACAAATGCTCTACAGAAGGTCCTGGCAAGTGTTTTAATTTTTTGGGGCGATTCAAAATCCAAGATGGCCACCTTGGCCTCTGTTTGGCTAAGACATTATAGACTTCCTCTCAAGTACCATTGGGTGGGTCATGTTCAAATCTGGTACAGATGTTTTACACTTGGTCCTACACAAGTGTTGTTACATTTTTGCAACATTTTAAAATCCCCAGATTATTGACATATATTCCTCAGGTGACCGTTAAGGCCCCTTGGGCCTCTTGTTTTTTAAGTAATTGTACTTTTTTATAACTTCCTTCACAGAGTATGCATTAATGAATACATTCAGACTGATTTTTGCATGTTCCCTTTTTCTTTGCAGAGCCACTAACAGTGGTAAATCCACTTTGGTTAAACAGCTTGTCTCTGCTTTGCCCAGTTGCTCTGCTATCCACCAAGATGATTATTTTCTGGTTTGTTAAATTTTTAAAAATACTATTGCTATGTTTTGTTTTTCATGATAATACATATTCTATTATTAAAGCTGAGAAAAATGTGTGTCTTACTTGTAAACACATATTGAAAAAAGTGTCAAATTTTCTTTTAAGGAGCCAGGGGATAAACGACTGACTTGGATTCCAGAACTGAATCATGAACATTGGGATGGTATGTGTATAAACTATATACTGATTTGTGAATTTATTTCAAAATCATGAAAGAGTTATCTCCCCTAATTGTATCCCCTATCACATGATTTATTTATTTGTCAATAAAACAAACATACTTACATTGTAAGAACAAAGAAGAGGGGGAAAAGAGAAAAGATCAAACTAACACTGATCCAATAAAGGTAATATGATAGTAGGGATCATTGACATTGTTTACTTTGTCTGCAGAAATGATATTGTGCAATTGCATCCAGGTACTGGTAATCAGGTATGTCTTTTTCAGAAATGAAAGCTATTGAGATGGACAAACTTGTGAGTGATATTCAGCAATGGATGAAGAAAATAAGTTCTCAAAGTGATCACAGCAGTTCTATCCTCCTAGTGGATGGTTTTCTTTTGTACAACTACAGGTAAACATAATGATTATTACAGTTTTAAATGTTACATTTGGAGGGAAAGCCAAATATATTTAGAATGAAGTGTTAGGTGAATGACATCTCAGGGAATAAGTAAACAGTCAAAGGTATGCTTTTGGCGCCCAAGAAAGATTATCAGTGTGAAGCAAAATATTGAGTTCATGTATGTTTCCTTCCATCATATTTGTGATTGGACTTCTAAAATTTACCCTATGTCAAGGGTCAAATGAATGTCCTTATGTTTATAATGTTACTTACTTGTACAAGTGGGATCTCTATGAAAGATTGACTACAGATCCTCAGTAGCTATTGTCATTTATCCTATAGATCACTAATCATACTGTACAGTATCAATGCATGTGTCTACTATATAATCTCTTAGTTATTGATTTCAGGCCACTTAATGCAGTGTTCAGCAAAAGATATTTCCTGGATGTTAACAAAAGTGTGTGCAGGAGCAGAAGAAGGTGCAGTAAATCTTAAATAAAAATCGTTCCGTGTACCATGGCATAGATGTGCTTTTAGTATCTTCAACTATGAACTAAGAAAAAACCATTTTGAATTCATATATGATGAACATTTTTCAAACATTTCAATTCATTTTCATTTTGATGAATGAAACTGTTGTTAAGGAGGCTTAACTCTTTCAAAATTAACCACTAGATTTTCTTGAAACTTTTACATAGCGATTAGGTTATCATGTGAGTGATTTTCTGAAAATTTAAGCATTCCAATGAGCTGTTAAAAATGCTAAAAAAACTGGTATTTCTCCAAATTCAATTTTTTCTTCATTTCTGTTTCTTATGGGGTTCTTGAACATCATAAAGAAACAGTAAACTGAAAAAAGAAATCTATATCTACTTTACAAGTATTTCATAAGTGAAAAAAAGATGCAAAACAATATTTACAAAGTGAGTTATGTTTGTATTTAGTGTACAGATATCAATATTTACACTTAAAATGCTCACATAGCACACCCTACATTGTTCCTGAGGTTTCTGGGGTAGGTTGTCTCCCTTACAATTATCAGAAACCTTTTTGAGTGGGTAGTATCATTACATAACACATAAACTATGTTTATATACAACCCTAATAAATACACTTTTCGACACTTTTATAAAAATATAATGATATATGTACATATATATTTATTAATGAAGTCATTGTATTCAACAGCAATGTCAATACCACCCACTTGGTTTCAAACTTACAACCAACAACAGACTAAGGAATAACTGATGTTGTCCTTTCTCTTAATATAAACTGTAATAACTTCATTTTTTTTTCTTTCTCCAATTCATATTTTAAATCATATTTTGCCTCTGCCAACACAGACAATTCCACAAATGGATATCTGTCTTTCCAGTCCCAGAATCGAGTAGAGGTAGGTTGAGCAATCCCATCTCACTCTCATCACTACAGTCCCTACTGGAGTCTGAGCATGTGTTATCTTGAACATCAGCTAATGTTCGCTTGGAATACAAATGGTCATGACAGCTACTGCTTTCGTTACAATCACTTTCAAAAGGCATTAAGCATTCCCTCTCGTCTCTTCTCACTGTCGTTGACATTGTGATGTACATGTACTTTTCATACTCGATATATACAGAAGAGTTCTCTTTCATTCAGCATGAAATTTACACCCTATTGCAAAATGTCCAGTAAACAAATAAGAAGTTACATCACCACAATACAGTAAACATTACTTGTGTATTACAAAGAGTCAAGTTTCCTTAATCCTTAGTTAACTGAAGTACTTCAAAGTTTAAATACTGTGAAGAATTTTGCAAAAAATATGATAAGATTAGCATACAAATGGTATGTATTTAAATATGAGTGCTTACCAAAGAGTCTTTAAGTTCTGTATCAGTACACTGACATGTAACTGGCTTGGTCTTTCAAAACGACTCTATTATAATTCTTTAATTTTTGAATTCTGAGATTTCTGGTGCCTTTATCTTATTTTTTTCTTTCTTTCTTTTTGATTAACAATCAAAACTATTTCAGACAATGATGAAACTTTGTGTAGATGTTTCATTATGTGTTCCAAATGATAGGCTTTGTTGTATTATATTGAATTTGACTTCTGACTCTAATACAAATGCCCCTTGTTACCTAAAAAAGTTATATATGTATATTTAATGATTGGTGTGTTGTCTTTGTCTGTAGTGAAAGAGATTATGATCCCCCAGATGTTCCTGGCTATTTTGATAAGATTGTATGGCCAGCCTACTTGAATAACTTTGAGGAAATAAAGGACATGACTGGTATCAGTAAGTATTTAACCTAAACAAAGTATATGCTCTTTACTAATGATGGAAATGTGTGTGAAAATTGCTCTCATATGGTTGATTACATAAAAGAGACCCAACCCATCATTCCCTCTTTAGTAGCTTTCATTTAGCATGTGAACCATCTATAGATTGCAATTCTTTTACCTAGTTTAGAATTATCTCCCCCTAGTTTGCAACTTAAGGTCTGGAAAAGCACTCCTCAGAATAGTGATGAGTACAGAAAGACAAGCCTGTATTACATGCTACAAGAAAATTCTGATTTGATGTGGCTGCAGAGAGGTGACCATGGAAAGAACAAAAATTACAACAATTAAAAACCTCAATTTCATTTTTAAGTACCAGGTAAAAATTTCAAGACAGACTCCAGTCGAAAGGTATAGCAAAGGATTTGTTATGCATCTTTGTGTCAATCCTCCAATTTTTTAACTTCTTACAGAAAACTATAGCAGGTGAATACCAATATTTTTCAAGGGCATATCTGGGTTGGAGTTCTACAGATTGTTTCAAATATGAATGACTATGGCATGTTTTCAAGATCACAAGGATCAGTTATATTTAGAAAAGAAAAAAATCTCTAAGAATATGTTTCTCGAATATGTCAATAGATATCGATGATAAGATGTTAGTTTCCTGACATAAATTACCTTGATCCGTTCTCAAGGTCACAGGTGTAGAATGTGTGGTATTAAAGTCACACACATAGAGGATCTTCTTTTCAAGTTTCAGAAGACCCAGGGTACTGATATTTGATCAATAGGTGCTTTGGATGGCATGCTACAGAATTTCTTCAAATAATTGACCTAGAAATGAATTAGCTAGATATCAAACATCTTTCAGGAAAAACCTGCAAATCATCATAACGAATCAGTTTTTATTATATGATGTACACACATACAATATGTCATTTCTGATTTGAACATTTATTATTACAGGCGTTCTTGGCATCTTATAATTATTTCATTCTTGTACTTTTGTTTGCAGCTTTAGTTTTGTTTTGGGATACAACTGTATAAAGGGAGATAATTCAAGAATTTTATTTTGATAAGATGATTTCTGATGTAAAAAAAGATGTGCTTTGTAAACATTTCCTCAAAATCCTAATACAAATTTCTGACATTAAAAAGTCCAATATGATATTTGATTTATTAATGATAAAAACCAAAGTGAGAATTCAATGCCTGCTTGTCATATTGTTAATACAATTAATTAACAATTTAGGTGTTTAGATAATGAAGATATCATTCCCTTTAAAATAGGAGACAGTATATCACTGCTTCTTCATTGACGTTCGGTTAATTTCAAATGCATAGCCTTCACTAAAGATATTGTAGTATTTCTGCAGTGTTAATCTAAAGATCTTTGTTGACTACCAAACCATTACTTTTGTTTCAGCATTCCTGGATGGAACAATCAAGCAAGAAGACATTTTTCAAATTGTTTTAAAAGATATTTTGTCAATTATTCCATCAAATCATTGATAGGGTAATGGGGAAACAATGATAAAATATGTATACTTGTATGTAATCACAATTTACAATTATGCTAACTGATGCTTATGCAGATGTGACATACACATACATGTAATGCAGCTGTCTCGTTACATTGATGAATAAAGAATAATTTTGTACTTCATGATTACAATTTTATTGTTCTTTTTTAAGGAAAAATGTAAGAAAATATTGATTCAAAGAAACGTTTCTTATGACTCAATGTTCCAAGGCCCAATATTTTGGAATTTACCATGATGGCTTCTGTCAAGTCCCAACCAGTAAGGAGGCTACAAGGCATGATATACAGTAATTTAGTCATTAAAATGTAAGATGCTGTTATATGTTAAGATATAATCAGTTTGAAATAGTAATAACAATATAAAATGTGTCTTAGAGACTGATCTTTTGTAAAACTGACTGTAAAAGAAGACATTAAATTAAAGTTTTCAAATTTTTTTCAATACTGATGAATCAGCTCATTCAAAGCCCAAACTAACCAGAAGTCATTATCACTCACTCATGTGATTTCCATTGATACCTGAAATGTATTGCTGACATGATTACAGGTCACAATTAAACTGTATACATATCTGTTAAATGACATTTCATATGTTAGTGGAAGTCCCATGAGCGAATGTCAATTATTGATGTCCATTACCTAAAAAAATGTCACTAAAACATATCATATTGTCAGTTTTATTTTCAAGCTGATCATATTTTTTTTACACATTTTCATAAAATAAAAGTATTACATTAACTACAAGTAAATTATGAACAAAGAGATTTACAGGTGATCATTAAAAAGATATGAAGAAAAACATTTGCTTCATCATGACATTGGAAATGCCCTCTATATCAATCTAGGGTAACTGAAGGTCAAGTTTTTGTAGCAATGTAACCACTAAAATCAAACAGATATACCTAAAACCCCTGTACTGTAGGTTATCAGTACTTAAAACTCCTGCATTGTAGGTTATCAGTACCTAAGACTCCTGTATTGTAGGTTATCAGTACCTAAGACTCCTGTATTGTAGGTTATCAGTACTTAAAACTCCTGTATTGTAGGTTATCAGTACCTAAGACTCCTGTATTGTAGGTTATCAGTACTTAAAACTCCTGTATTGTAGGTTATCAGTACCTAAGACTCCTGTATTGTAGGTTATCAGTACTTAAAACTCCTGTATTGTAGGTTATCAGTACCTAAGACTCCTGTATTGTAGGTTATCAGTACCTAAGACTACTGTATTGTAGGTTATCAGTACTTAAAACTCCTGTATTGTAGGTTATCAGTACTTAAAACTACTGTATTGTAGGTTATCAGTACCTAAGACTCCTGTATTGTAGGTTATCAGTACTTAAAACCCCTGTATTGTAGGTTATCGGTACCTAAGACTCCTGTATTGTAGGTTATCAGTACCTAAGACTACTGTATTGTAAGTTATCAGTACCTAAAACTACTGTATTGTAGGTTATCAGGACCTAAAACGCCTGTATTGTAGGTTATCGGTACCTAAGACTCCTGTATTGTGGGTTATCAGTACCTAAGACTCCTGTATTTTGGGTTATCGGTACCTAAGACTCCTGTATTGTAGTTTATCAGTACCTAAGACTCCTGTATTGTAGGTTATCAGTACCTAAAACACCTCTATTGTAGGCTATCAGTACCTAAGACTCCTGTATTGTAGGCTATCAGTACCTAAAACTCCTCTCAGTTTTCACAATCGTCAAGTCTTGTCTCATACCTTATATAATATAATATATTATAATATGATATGATATAATATAATATAATATAAATTATTAAATGAACAGTGAGAGGTGGGGTCATGGGGTTTACTTAGTTTTATATGTTCTTTCTGTTTATTTAGTACTAAATCGATCAAAATAAGACGAATTGAGGTCTCAGAGGATCCAAATAATGACATCCTTAGTTTCCCTGCTTGAATAGTCTTTGTCTGGCTAGTATTGGTTCAATATATTGAGATATTTTTGACAAAGGAGATCACAATCGTAAAGTGGATTATTTCGTCAGAAAAGGATTCCCACACGGTGTCGCTCAAGTCTTCCTCACTTGTCAACATCGGCAGAAGATTAAGAAATCGATTCTGCTATAACAGCATGAGGATGGCCCTTGAGTTAAACACATATTAACACGATGGATGTAATCCTCACTTGAACTCTAGCAAATGCAGAACTGAAATCTTGATTGACAAAACCCCTGTTTTAATCTTGACGGGTATAAAACTAGTACTTTGTTTTCATAACAGGCATATGCAATTCGTTTCTTAAGACGGCACACTGCTGTTTACTTCGTAAATGAAAAAAAGAACAAACTTGTAGAAAAAGATATTTTTGCTTCTATAGACAACAGATTTCATTAAGAAAGCCGTTATGTATACAATATTCTTTGTCCTTGCCGTCTACTTTGCCGTATTCCCAGGAGACCATGGTCATTACAGTGGTGATAAGTATGATCTGACGGGATATCAGGGACTTTTCTTATCTAAAGATGACATAAAGGGGTTAAAAGAGGACATGGGCTCCCTCATGCTGGCAACAATTAAAGACAAGGATCGTACCTTTCGTTTCAATCCCGGAAACAGACAGGAGAAACCTTCCAGGAACAGGAAGGAGAAAGCAGAACAAGAATGTCCAGAACGATCGAAAAGGCGAACATGTCCTTCCTGTTGTCAAACGTGAGTACATGATAGTTTTTGTTAACAAAATAGCTGTGGACAGGGTGCTTAAAAGTGCTTGATAACGCCGTGCAGTGTCACATACCAGTATAATGCAGTATCATTTGTCACTAGATGAAAACTTAATAATAACTAAATAATTTCGATGTTTGGTCATCCCTGATATTGCTTTTCATTTTAATGGTTAGTTAGTTTGGGAAGATGGAAAAGATAACACCGACATGTTCACGGAATCATAATTCAAACACCAATTCAATGACAGGGACAAATAGAATACAAGAAAATAATATATAAAGACAAGGAGAATAAGGCCACGTGGTTTGGAAGAGTAAGCGTCTTCTGCTTTATCGACACCCACAATACAAATATTGGACAATGGAAGTTTATGTAAGTAGTATCATGGTCCCAAATGAGAATAAGGTAAACAACAACAGGACCACCAGGTACATCAATGAGTATCAAACATATCAAGTTTCATTCTCGATGAGACCATCATCATAATTTCTTCTCTTTATCTTTTTCATAGACAATGGGTAGCAGACCGCGTGTGGAAGGTGGATTACAACAACACAGTTTACAACGTGGTGCAGACAAGGAACAATTACCAGATCATCTTCCAGGGCGTCTGTTCGTAAGTGGTTAATCAACGTTTTACTTGCAAAAATGCTTCTAAAACAAGTGTTTCTTTTTTCTGCTTATAAAAAAAATTCACCACTATTTAATTTACTCACATTTACTTTCACAAAACTTTATATCAGCTTATAAGTACATTTACAAATGTAAATAATAAAATATGTAATCACATGACAGTCTAACATATTGCTTTGGAATTGATTTGATATCAATTTTCTACTTGCGGTCGAATCTTCATAAAATCGAAACTGTATACTGCACGTCGCAAACACTTCCAAACCTAAAATATATACATAAAGAATCATTTTTGTTGCTGCAAATAATGTTTTCGGGCAAACTTTTCTTTTTTTCATTTTGCACATTGCCATCATATTGATTTACAAGAAAGGGTGTGTAGTTAGGCACCATGAATGACAACCAAGCATGACTATTATAATGTCACTATTGTAACGTAGGATGGAATCAATCGCCAATTTCATAATTGCCACATATAAAACCTATAATTTCAGTGGGTAAATGATACCGACAAATGGTTCGATTTCACTGATTCCTATATATTATGAAATAACCAATGCAAAACACCAAAATCACAATTATAAAACAGGTATAACTTACATGTAAAGAGGAATATTTCAAGTTAACTTAAATCGTGTCCATCACTCCAACTATTGTCTCTGCATTGACAGTGCAATAAGTATTATCTCCATTTGGTATACTATACCAATGCACGACATTTGAAACATTTTAATGGCAGTCCGGTTGATTCTATAGATCAAATATGTGATTTATAATGGCGTTCAATCAAAGCTAACCGTCATACAAGTGTACAATTTATATGCCATTTTTCTCCAGTTAGAAATCTAAAATGGTAATCTTATAGAATCAAATGAAAGCTCCCAAGTACTTCCAAAAAAACTTTAGGTAAGGCAAAAAACTGATAAAACCCTGTGTCTTTTTCTAGGTCCAAAAATAAATAAATAATTACAAATTTTGTAATATCTCTAGATTTTCACTACAATGTCGAACCATTAATTTTTTTAGGAAGACTTGTTTTTGCATAAAGGCATAAGGGCAAGTATATCAAACTATATAACTGATCTTGACTGTAAATTTTGTAAATGCTATAAATAGTGGGCAATGGATAATTCGGTCGATTATGTCGGAAATAAAAACGTTTGATGTGAACTGGCAAAGGACAAAATGATTTCATGTATCAAGTACTGTTAGTGTAGGAGTTTGGTTAATATATTTGTAAAACTCCTATTTTGATATTTGTATGCAAGTCTAAACAACGCCATTCTAAGAAATCCTTAAAACAGATAAACCATTGAAATGCTTTTGGGATAGATATGTTTTGTGACCAACTAATATGTATGAAATATTCTTTCCAAAACATCTTTCCATGTTTTTTATGGAGCTAGTAGTGTATGCATGAATTATCTTTATTATCACGCTTTTTGACAGATGCAGCAACTGCGGGCCTGTAATAATCTGTGGCGAAGAGAATTCGTTCTTCACGCCAATCATGGTGGAAGACGGTGAACGTCCAAAGAATGGCTCTCTTCCAGCCGTCCGCTTTCTACCCTTGCGGATATCTCGCTTCTGTCAGTGTTCCAAGGGAGCATGGATCGTGTAAATGTCGCTATGTCTTTCGAACAGGATCAAGTAAGCGTTGATATCACATATCCAGAAGAAACCAGTTGTTTGTGTTGTTATCGAGGGTAATACGTCGTAGGATACCTTGTGCTTGATTGAACATACATATGCAGTATATATAGTAGTTTTTTCTATTACCTTTTTTCCTCATAAAGTCTAGTGATGAATGTATGCAAGGATATATAAAAATGTCTGGTTCACTCTAGTTCTCACTTGCATTTGTTTCCACGTTTTTTTAGTTCCGTATAAGGCAATACCAAAATATTATCCACAATTTAGTTTTTTTCTATAAATATACAATTTTCTAATTTTCTTGTCGTAAGTTTGGCCTAATTTGCTCAGACGTTTCCATAGATTACAACTGTTGGTGAATATTTTTTTGGTCAAAATGATAATTTATAACATTTTTTTATTCTAAAAATTCAAACAAGACTTATGTGTGTCCCGTATTATGCTATTCATTGTTTTTACATTGATTAAAATATGGTTTGTAATAATCAATAATGTTTAATTTTTTATTTCAAGAATGTAATTTGCTAATTGTTTGCGCACAATTTATTGACGAATATGGTATATTCATCAAAATTTCATTTCATACCCGAACATAAAATATCGCATAACCACAAAATTTGCAATAAATGTGTTTTATATATAACAATATATTCAATTATGCAAAGGTTATATTTTACATGAGCTAAACGAGATATCTAGAAGTACATAATTACATGTACAGTTATTCAATTTTGCCAAGGCATGATAATATGAAATTTCCATTACGACAAAATATTTGGCAAACTATTTTTCAATTAACAACTAGTTACTTTTCATTATATCTAAATGTATAATTCCTCATTAGAGATACGAAGGTATCAAATATTTCATTGTATTTTATCTGTATGTCCATCATATCTGTTCATATTCAGCATTGTAATTCAGCTATCATATTAATATATATATATTTATAACACACGAAATAGTATGCACAAGTACATGTATCAAAGACCTTTTGTTTCACACAACTGTCATGTTGAAAGAAATCAGTACACGCTTTTATTAAGATCCAAAATCCAGGCAAATCTAGTTGTAGTACTTTTGTTCATGTAAAGCTTTGGTTTCTAGTGTCTAGTTTCCTCATGACAACTATTTTGTCTGAAGCAGTGAAATGTGATCTGAGGCAAAATACTTCAAAAGATTTATTTTTGAGAAAATTTATCTTGGAAATAATATTTACTTAGACCTTTGGTCAGCCCAACAAGATTTGAACCATCGGAGAAAATCAGGAATTTGATACAAACAAACATACCGAAATGAATGCTGATTCGGACATTTTTGGCAGCAACTCATTACCAAGGCAAAGATGCAGTTCCTTTTGGCAGTCGTTGCAATCATTCATACAGTCAGTTAATATGCACTATATACATAAAACGTTGACGTCTGATCTTGAACAAAATCTGGCAGTCTATAATATGCATTGTAATCACGATGTCTAAGTATGAAAATTGAACACGCACATGCTTTGATTAAGGAAGTCAAATAAACCTGATATTTCGATGGAATGGCACAGTCAGGATTAATTTTCATGGAAGATATGATAAGTTAATGGTACACCGACGGTGATCAGTTATAGCCCTTCCATGCATAAGAACTGACAACGCCCATAGAAGAGTTCATTGATTTCATCACCCTACGGTCACTATCCGGAACATGGGTCCCTGCTGGCACGGTGCTTAGCCTTGCAAACTGAAAAAAGTGTGACAGTGGGTAACCATAATACTCGTCAATACATACTATAGAGACTACATTATTATTGTAATACACATCAATTTCAAATATTTTATTTAAAAACATAAAGAATATACCAAACAAAATATCAGCTCATTCAGAACACATTATTCAGTCCTTCAAATACCTGCAGTGGTTACAAAGGAAAACATACTATGTGAAGACTTATATGCAAAATTATGAATTATATATATATATATAAAGATTTTTAAAGAGGCCCTTTATTCATGATAGACTCTACATCATAAAAACAAAAACAAAAAAAACAAAATTGCAAACCAACGACAGGAGTGTCACTTACAATTTCATCTGCTTCCTCAGGAGGAAGTTTAGGACCTGGTCTCTCGTAAACCCTCTCTTTTACAGCTTGAACTTTGTACAACCGCTCTACCGTCTGATCTATTTCGTAACCTGTCATCTTTTGGTGTCCCATCTCAAATTCAGGCTTAATTATCGTACCCCATGGCATCTTTGGACGAGGGGTCCGCACAGAAGAACGTATGACTGACATGTTACTTTCCTATTCTGAAAGAATGCAGATAAATGCAACAGTAATAATCATTTCATTCAGAAAATAAAATCTGTAACAACGGTAAGATGTTTTATATTTTGGCCAAGACAAAAGAGGCTGGATTTAATGGAGCTGTTATAACGAGTCCCATTTTGTCTTTGTAATGAATGTCTCGATGTTCTATTTTGAACTGAAAAGGCGCGTGCCAAGTCTGTAAACCTACCGGGATCAGTACGTGGTTAGGTTTGAATTACATGTGGTGTTATACTATAGCGCTGATTGTTACTAATCCGTTTGTAATTAATTGTCTGCTATTTCCTATTTAAGCAGGCTGGTGATTGTTATCAGCATGTATCCAAACGCATATCTGAATTCCTCAATTAGTCGTCTGTTACTTATGTATGTCAGGCGATTAAGGCACGTGCCTTCAATCCAGGCATTTATTTTATCTTTGTATTTGTAATTTTATGTTTTAAAATACAAGATCCTTACGTATTTGAAATAGAAACGAGAAATTAAAAAACGATGCCTCGTAAAATTGAATTTTGATAGTTATTGTTAAAGACAGAGTATATATATTCTAAAACATTAAAAAAATAGTAGATATTCTAGAGTCAAGAAAATGAGTATCCATTACTCTGTAGGTGTATAGGGACTTTGGATACAGCACAGATAGTATGGTGACCTGAAGCAGATAACAATCACCAGCGCTAACATAATAGTATTGTAGAATAATTTGTGAAGACAATCTCGACCGTTATTCTTAACGAATATCTAATACAATGAAAACCATATCACAAATTCATTCACATGAAAATATTGTCAGCTATATAATGAGGCAAAAAAATGTGAGAAACTATCGATGATTGAAAAATTCAACAGGCTGAGGCCTAGTATACATTTTAAGGGAACTGAGTAGTTTATATTCAATCATATCCAATATAAAAATATATTTCTGTAGTTTGATAGTCCAAACATATTCATTCCGGCCAGATAACACCATGTTTCATATGTACAGTTCACAACATTGTGCTGGACATATATCACCCTCGTCCCAGGTGAAAATCGTACTTTAAACGATGTTGCAATTTTCACCTGGGGCCGAGGATGGACGTATATCTACATTATATATTAACAAAATAAATATCATTGTATTTTAATTTATTTAATTACTGAAACTTATGAATCCCACCTTCTAGAACTCTCACTACAACATTATTTTCTCCCATTGAAAGTCTATGATTATGATACAGGTATTCGTATATATATTGTAAATGCATTTGATTGATAGTCTAGTTATATATTACATAATCTAAGTGGACACCGTATATCTTACCTGTACTGTGCGTGTAATGAATGTTGATATATCCTTCAGGAGAATTCTCTAATCAGCACTTGCGTTTCTCTGTCTACATCATTACATGTTCATTACAGTGCTGACGATGACCACGACTAAAGATCTATATCCTGTCCCTCGGATACGTCCAATACCTGTAATGCGATTTTCGTGTTTTGTTTTGATTAGCGACAAAGTAGGATCAGACTGACGTATTACCGATCAATAGATCGATCACCGTCAACGATACACGCTCTCCGATGTATACCAATACTACTTCATAACCGAAGATAAGATTTAAATAGGCATGATACATATCATATTGCTATTAAGTTAAAAAGTTTGTTAGTGCTACTGTCCTAATCTTTATCGTTTTGGGTATTTTTACCTTTACACCTTTAATTTAGTTACCTTTAGTGACCTTAATCTTAGATGATAACGACTGTTGAATCTAGACCTCAATTCATGAAATCTTTGGCAGTTGCCCGAGTCGTAAAGGTTAATAACTAAAAGCGATTAGGATCAAAGGTATTAAGCTGGATTACCCATTTAGTGTGTATGGGTTTGTACAGAGAACAAAAATTAAATCTTAAGTAAAACAAACAGGCTAGGAAGGAAACGCGAGATGCAGCATGGAGCATTGAAAATGTGAAGCTTTACATATTAATTAAAAAATAAACTGTCCATTCTAGTGGCTGACTTAAGCACATCAATATACATGTGTATGTATATCTGCACATGGATATTCTGCAGTGTAACGGTAGTATAAAAAGAAAACCCAGGTGTACTAAGACGAGCTAATGCTGTATTGTTTACACGTTTAAAGGTCCCTCACTAATCAAAATAGCAGATTTTTTATATAGATTACATACCAATACAGTATTTGATGTCATTAACATGCATCACTATTGATATGAATAATTTGTTGCTAATCACATAAAAAATCGTCATGAAAGAACAACGTCAATTAAGTCATCATTTTCATGCGACTTGCATTTAAAAATCCACCTACATAAGTTCATGTCACTGCAATACCCATCCAAACATTATCAATATCAGTCTCTACCTCGAATGCCTTCATTTCATGGTCGTATCATTCTATGTACTTTAAGAACTGCTTTTTTACAATAATATATGTATTTTATTGGAGGGGTTCACGACGTTAAGTGTCATCCTACAGGCTTTTCACAGTTCAATATACAACCACAAAACAAATTGTAGTAAGAAAAGGAGAGTATTTGTAAACCTTATTGAACACCATCGATATTGTACATTTAAATCTCCGTGAGAATGTGGACTACCTGTGTTATATATCCGTTGGGACACTAAATACAAAACGTCAGGCTAACAAAAAGGTAGACAGCCATCCGAATTGAAATTTAGATAATACATTGAAACTAGGTTACACATTCACGACTAAACATACTAGCTCTCAGTGTACATGCCGTTTATTTATCATGTCTGGTTTAAATATAGAGAAGCCATGAAAAGTCAACAATATATCTCCTAGTAATCACAATTTTGTTGTTGAATGATATAATATCCAATGCTGACAATCTTATCTGATAAAAAATACTTAACCGAGGAATTTTCTACAGTAATGATGGTGATATTTACTATGTAGCTATTGTGTCACTATGTTATATAGTTTCTAGGCAACTCCAAAAACAATAGATAATATTACCTTCAGAAAGTCGTATATATCTAAACGTCATCATAGAACGAATGGTTTGTGCAGATCAATGACTAAATTCTATAACCCAGCTTACTGAAGCTATCGACCAGCCCAGTACGTCCGCATGAGCAGCAGAGATTTTCAAGATAATAACAGGATAGACCATTAAAAATCATACTATTTACCCTTCATGTATTTTTTAAAGATCGACATCGGAAATGAAGCACGTTTTGACTCCAACCGATAAACTGGTTAACATATAACTAACGTCCTGTGTGCATAGAACTAAATACTCAGGTCACCAATACGATCAAGCGACCCTGAAGCTGATGACAATGTAGTTATATAACTGTTAGTTTACCCGTTTACAGCAATGGAGAATGTTAGGGAAAGAACATGATGGTGTGGAATCGGTTACCATTGCCATTAAATGGAAGCATCATTAAAAGGTTATTTGGTTCTTACAATTAGAATTATCTTTATTTACCATTATACAGTTTCTATAACTACATCAATATACTCCATTTACATTGTTCAAATAACATGTACTTGAGAATATAGATAAATTGAAATGAATATTCGTTCATGTAAATTTAATACATTTATCAAATAATGTTAGTGTCATACTATTACTTTTTATTATGCACAGTCTTATTTCACGTTAATTATACATTGTAACAAGCTATCAAACCATAAATCACGATCGGCAAAAACAGATGTGGTATATTACATAAACAAGCCAACAGAAGTTTCATAGAGACACTGCTACACAAGTAAATTATCATGGTACTTACAATAAAATACCTTTACGACATTATCGTCATTACATCATTGTACTTACCAATAATCCAATTATGTACTATCCAGCATTTCCTGATACAAATTACCCAGGGATTATACAATAACGCTATTTCTCATATTCACTCCAACAATCTAACCACGTTGGCAGTGTAATTTATCTACCTATCTCATCTTGGAAAGATTTAACAATAGTCTCGATGTGGTGTTCAACAAGTTATCGCCTTGTATTTATAAAACACCTTCAACGGACGACTTGCTCTGTATATACGGCTATCTAGACCAACAGAGGGGTAACGAACGCCTCGTGATCAATTAAACTCTAAATTAGTCTGAGACACAAAATACTTACCTCCCCGGAGTCTCGAGTTTTTATACAAACTAAGAGCTACCTGGTGCTGGGTAACAAAGAAATGCCAAGTACAGATATACATGAGATTTAAACGTGAACACTTCAGATAAATGGAACTCTATATTTAAACTGTCACTCCAAAGAAAGATATCAACTACCAGCTTGTGTAAATTGCTTGTGTTAACACACTGTCACTTAAAGTAAATACTCCTGGAGATTAACTCATTTATGAAATAACGTTATTTGCTTTAAATTGTGAACGCATGATGATAAAAGAGACTATATAGTCCGTAGTAGTCTTCCACACACACACATATATATGAGTGACAGCTGATAGGTATATTACATAATCAGTAATTTCATACCGAACATGAGAGCTACATACGATGTATTCAAAACGAGTTAAAATGAGGAAAAAGCCACATGGACGAATTCTCTGCATAACAAGCGGATTATGCGATAAGTAAATCCTAAATCCCCTGTGAAACAGAAACGCTTCCTTGCAAAATTCTTTCCCCACATTGATCTTGCAGACAACTTAAGCCAAAAAACATAGTCATCATTTTATTGTACGTAAAAATAATCAAAACCTGTATATTGGTAGAACTAGAACAATCGATTCGGCTTTTAGTACTGAAAAGTTAATTTCTATCCTTTAATTATTGACGATGACGAATTCAATATATTTATCTTTAGCATCAACATTGAAAACTGTATTTTTGCTGAGAAGTTTGAGAGAAAACAGCAGTCATCAAACTTTACGTCAAAGGGGTACAAAAACATCATATCAGCATAAAGCGGGCGTGGTTTACCAAATTCCGTTCAACAGATGTAATAAG